GTGATGTGGGGGCAGGAAGGGCACTGAGGAGGGCGGCAAATTTAGTCAAGAGAATAAAACACTTTCACCTGGAGCAGCCTTGTGTCCTTGTGTGTGTTGTGCAGTACAGGCTTGTCTCAGATTATCCAAATAATTGACTGAGTTCTCTTCTTTCTTTGCCAGTGAGCACACAGCTTTAGTTTTTTTCTGGGACTAGCAGCTGCTTTTCTGAAATTTCCATCCCAGGGCTTCCGTCCTCCACTGTGTCCTCTCAGAAACCTGTCATGGTTTTTCTGGATGGATGCCCACAGAATTTTAATCCAGACACACACACACACACACACACACACACAAAGAAAGAAAAAAAAAAAAGAGGACGGAAGGAAGAAAGGAAGTAGAAAAAAAGAAAAAAGTGCCATGTATAACAAAAAGTAAAACCAGGTTACAAGTTGACTTTCTTTTTTAATTTGGTTACTTCATTTGTGCTGCCAACCTGAAGCCATGACTAACCTAAAGCCAGTGAGTTTTCTTAATTACTGGGTTTGTCTATGATGATGCAGAGATGAGGCCTATATCCTTCAGGGGCTACCTGGGTCCTGGCACCTCCAGACTCCTGGTAAATGTCTGCCTAATTAAATTAGTTGTTTTTCCAGAATATCCCATTTTCTCCTCCTCCTCCCCTCCCCTCCCTGTCCTCCTTCCCCTCCTCCTCCTCCTCTTCTTCTTCTCCTTCTTCTTTTCTTCTTTTTCAGACAGAGTCTTGCTCTGTCACTCAGGCTGGAGTGCAGTGGCGTGATCTTAACTCACTGCAACCTCCACCTTCAAGGTTCAAGCGATTCTCCTGCCTCAGGCTCCTGAGTAGCTGGGATTACAGGTGTGAGCCACCATGCCTGGCTAATTTTTACATTTTTAGTAGAGACGGGGGTTTTGCCATGTTGACCAGGCTGGTCTCGAATTCCTAACGATCTGCCTGCGTCGGCCTCCCAAAGTGCTGGGATTATAGGCATGAACCACTGTGCCCAGCCAGAATATCCCATTGTATGCCTTTTCTCAATAGGTATTTGCATGTCCATTAAGGAAGGAGGGATGCAAGTCCCTGCCCTCAGGAAGCTTAGCAGAGTCACCGAAGTTTAAAAGGTGAAATTATCTAACTTAATTTGAAAGATCCTTTGGCAAGCCAGGTAGAAATGCAAATTCCTGGACACTGCTCTCAGACGATCATTCTGTAAGTTTGAAACCCAGGAAATGATTTTTTACTCATCCCCGATCAGCTAGTAGAAAAGTGATAAACTCCTAAGAAATGCTCATGGCTAGAAATAAATAGCATCATCAGAGACAATGATTTCATGATTCAATGTCTACTTAATGTTGTTTAGATAAAATTCATGAAAATTGATGCCAAATAATGAGGATTCCTTGCATTAACATTAAGGTCATTGCTCTGTGTCTTTTTAATACACACGTGATCACCTGAAGATTTGGAAAACTCAAAGCAAATATGGGTTTGGAACTAAAAATGGGGCAGAGTCTTGTGGGGTGTGGCAAAGAAGAGCATGAATAGCTTTGAAGTCAGGCATCAGTCGATTCAAATTCTGCACATAGCAGTCTGTGTGACTTGGGCAAGTTACTGAACCTCTCTCTGAGTCTCCATTCTTTCACCTATAAAGACGGAATATTACTACATCTCTGAAGGAGGAGTTCAGATTAAGTGAGTTTATGCATCTGATAAGTGACTGCTTCGTAAATAATTCCCCTGGACACGGTGGCTCACCTCTGTACTCCCAGCTACTCAGGAGGCTGAGGTGGGAGGATCGCTTGAGCCTGGGAATTTGAGGCTACAGAGAGCCGTGATGGTGCCACTGCACTCCAGCCTGGGCGACAGAGCAAGAGCCTGTCTCAAAAATAAATAAGTTTACTAAACAAACAAACAGGCTGGGCTTGGTGGCTCACGGCTGTAATCCCAGCACTTTGGGAGGCCAAGGTGGGCGGATCACGAAGTCAAGAGATCGAGACCATCCTGGCCAACATGGTGAAACCCTGTCTCCACTAAAAATACAAAAATTAGCTGGGCGTGGTGGCGCACTCCTGTAGTCCCAGCTACTAGGGAGGCTGAGGGAGGAGAATCTCTTGAACCTGGGAGGCGGAGGATCCAGTGAGCGTCGACTGCGCCATTTCTCTCCAGCCTGGCGACAACAAACAAACAGATAGTTTCCACTTACAACAAAATATGCCACAAGATGAGAGAGGGCAGAAATTTCCGAGGCCAAACTTAAAATTTCCATTTGGGATTTGGCCACAGTTTGGGCGTTCCCTGTGGCAGTGAATGCGGCTGCGGACCTCCCAGGGCCGCCATTGCCCGCAGGGAGGGTCATTTCTAAGGGCAACTGTTTGCTTCCGGACTGCCCCCGCCCCGCCCCGCCCCCCAGCTCCCCCATCGACCTGAAAGAAAATGTAATGGGTTGGGCCATTTTTATTTTTTAAAAAACTTTCTTCCGGGTCTTTGACCGGGCGCCGCAGGTGTCCCCGTGGGTTTCCCAGGCCGCTGCGGCCTTCACTGACAGGAGGAGGTCGTAGAGAGAGGTGTGGCGGGCTAGGGACCCAGAGCCATCCGGAGGTGGTCCCATTTGGGCCAAGGCCGCGGTTTGGCACTTCCGCCGTCTGCAGGGCTCCTAAAGGGCTGAGGAAGGCCTAGAATCCTCCTGCGCACCCAATCCGGCGTAGTCCGAGGGTCCGACCCCTCCAACCCCGCCAGGGTAGGGGGCAAGGAGGGGCCGGTGTGCCGGGGGATTCGGTCGCACCCCTCCCTGCCCAAGGGGGCCCAGGAGCTCCCTTGGGCCGAGCTCTGCAGGGAAACGAAGGCCCCATCAGAAGGGACCCCAATCTCAGGGACCCGCACCCGCGACGCGGTAGTGGGAGTCAAGACCCGGCGGCTGCGCCCCTGACGGCTTAGCCGCAGGGGAGCAAAGCCCTCAGTGCCTCGAGGCCAGTCTGGGTTTTTGAGCGTTGCGGGAGGTAACCGGAGAGTTCGCCGGATTTTAACACAATCCCACTCTGCAGCTTCAGAACAGGGTGGCCGCAAAGACCCTTACCCCTCTTACCCCTCTCTGCTCCCACCCGCCCCACCGACCCGCTGGAGCAGAGCGGCCAATCAAACGGGCGCCCAGTCGGCGTCGGGCTTCGAGGGCAGCTTGCGGAGCGAAGCCAGGCTGAGGGGCGATCAGCCCGCTGGGGACCTTGGAAACCAGCCGCCCTACGGAGAGTAGCTCGGGACAGTTCCACCGCTCAGCCCAATCAACTGAAGTGGAAGCCCGAGGTCGGCCTGCAGGGCCAGAGATGCCCTCCGGAGCTGGGCCAACCCTGGGTGCCCCTAAGTGGCGGGAGGGGTGCCTGGGTGGAGAGCGCGAAAGACCCCGCTCAGGGGCCCCCTCTCGGTTCAGGACGGTAGAGGGGTCCCCCAGGGTGGCGGCGGAGGCCGGGGAGGTGGCGGCGGTGCAGGCGGTGCGCGCATCGCTGCGAGCTGGAGCCCCTAGGGACCCGCCACACACACTCGCACCCCTCCCCCTCCCGGCCTGCCCACCCGCTCGCCGCGACCCCCGCCCCCATCCCCCTCCCCTCCCCCCGCCTCCGCCCCATTCTTGGAATTGTGTGGAAAAATTCTCAGCCAAACCTCCCACCTCTCCTCTCCTCCCACCCACCCCCTTTAAAAAACCCCTTTCCTCCCCGGCCCCTGCACTCTTTGTGAATGAGGGCAGGGAACACGGCCCTTCCCCCGCCCAGGAGCCACGCCAGACCGCCGCACTCAGAGGACTGTTTGTTAATAGTCCAATTAGATAATTGCCATCTTTCACTCCTTTTGCTCCGCATTTCCCATAAAGGAATGAATGGGGAGAGCGGCGTGGAGAGGGCTTCTGCCCCGGCAAGGTGACGAGAAGGGCTGGAGCATGCTCCTTGCACAAGGCCATGCGCTTGAATTGAATCATTGTAGCCTAATCAATGCTCTTATTGGATTACTGGCTGTTGCTTTTCTCAAAGATATTGTAGCAGAGACAATGAAATAGCTAGGGGAAAACTTTTTTTTTTTTTTTTTTTTGAAGCAGATCTCACAGTTGAGATTTCTCGGCCGTCTCTCCCTCTCCCCCTCTCTCTCCTGCTGGACTCTGAGTACAAAGCTGCCCTTTGAATGGGCTGCCTCAGGGCTGCTGGAGGTGCAGGCATGAAAAAATCCAACTGGAACTAAATGAAGAGAGGTGGCAGTTTAAGATGGCTGTCTGCGTCGAGGTGTGTTAAGAAGGAGTTGTTTAGGGGGAAAGCTTGGCTTTTTTAGAGTGCAGGGGAGATACTTTTTGGGAAAACTTTCTCCCCCCACCTTTGTCCCCCATCCCCCACTTCCAGGCAACTGCTTTCTTCGGCTGCTGGGTGTGTAGGGTTTTTTTTTTTTCCTCCCCCCACCCGCCCCCGCCGCCCAACCCTCATTCAGCTCTATCTGGCAAGTGTGGAGAAAACCCCTCTAGCCAGTATGTGAGCAGGAGGGTCAAAGGCAAAAGGAAAGTTAATAATGCCTGCTAATGGTACTAACAATTCAGGATGAATCTTGTCAAAAGTTTTTCTGGAAGTGTGGGTCTTTGATTGTGTGTTTCCTGAAAGCAAGACCAATCATTTCCGTTTATTCACTGGCTAAACCCCTACTTGATTGGGGACAAGGACAGAAACCATCCATTACGATCTGATATATTATCCAAACAATTTAGTGTATTCATGAGGTAACCGAAACGTGGGGGCTGCGAAATTACCCGTAATCAATTGCAACAGCGAGTGTGCGTCCCCCCGGGTGTCGGACAACTACAACTCGCCGTCTCAGAAACAGGCGGGAGTCGCAGCATTTCGGAGTTGCGCTGTTCGCTACCTGATCGCCAGGCTGGGTACACTGGACGTGCTCAGAGGACGCGGGTGCTGACGAGGCGGCCTCGCCGCAGCTCCACCGGGATCCTGAACCAGACTGGCCGCCTCTTGGCGAGCGCGCCACTCTCCCGTCGCCGCTGACCCGCGCGCGGCCGCCGAAGCCTCCCCGCGGGGACATTCATTCTTGCCCCTTGCCTGTCGCCAGGCCGGGCGTACGGGCTGCGTTGTCGGAGATTTTGTCCCTTTTTTCCTTTTTTTTTCCTTCTCTCCCCCCCCCCCCTTTTTGGGTTTTTTTTTTTTTTTTCCTTTCTGTTGTTGTTGTTCTTGCCTATGTTCGGGAAACCAGACAAAATGGACGTTCGATGCCACTCGGACGCCGAGGCTGCCCGGGTCTCGAAGAACGCGCACAAGGAGAGTCGGGAGAGCAAGGGCGCAGAGGGGAACCTCTCAGCCGCCTTCCTCAAGGAGCCGCAGGGCGCCTTCTCAGCGTCGGGCGCTGCTGAGGATTGTAACAAAAGTAAATCCAATTCCGCAGCCGACCCGGATTACTGCCGCCGGATCCTAGTCCGAGGTAGGGATGGGCAGGGCTGCCGGGCGCGTTCTTTGGGGTCGACTCCGGGGCCGGAGCTGCGCGCTGCAGCCGACACAGGCCGGTGGGGAGGAGTGCCGGCTGGGACTTGGGAGAAAGTTGTTGGCCCTCCCCGCTCCGGGTCCGGCTGGGGACAAGCGCCTGGGACTCTCCGGTGCGCTCTCCAGGGGCCTCGGCCCTCCACGCCCTGAGGGGCCCCAATGACCGGGCTGCGGGGGGAGACAAGGGGCTGCGCGGGTGCGGTCGGGCATCGGACTGCGGCCTCCGACCCGGGAAAGGAGCAGAAAACTCCGGGAGGAGGTGTGCGCGCTTCAAGGGCCGGATGACCTGCCGGGAGCCGGCCAGGGCACTCCAGCGCTCTGAAGGGCTGAGCGCACCCAAGGGGGAGCGCGAGCCCCGGAGAACAGCTGCCGATCGCGGGCTACGGCCCTGCCAGTTAGTGCACTGAGCCGAGGGCCCCAGCGCCGCGATCGGTGCCCGACCGCTGCCGCCGGGAGAGGCAGCTGGGCTGGGTTACGGAGCCGCGGCTGCCGCTTTGGTGCTCTGCTCTGCCGCTCTGGGATGCACGGCGTGCGCTTAGCCCTGGCGGCGGAGGCTCCGAGGCCGGGCCCCGGCCTGGCGCCGCCCCAGCCAGCAGATCGCCGGGCCCGGCCGGCCCCGACTCAGTCCCTCCTCCTTCCGCTGCGCGGACTCCGGAGGGAAGGAGGCTCGAGGGTGGGGGTGGGGACGACTGGAGCAAGGTCTGGTCAACAATCCCAGAGCTGGGGCCCGTAGGACCCAGGCGGGGCGGCAAGGTTACCCTCAGGCTACAGGGGACCCGGACTGCGCAGCCGAGGCCCCCCCAGGCCGGAAGAAACGTCCGCATATTTGGAATTGATTGGATTTTTTCTCTCCCCTGTCTGGAGGACTCTACAAAAAGACAAAGTGTGGTCCCTCCTTTGGTCAGCGGTATGGAGTTAGGCCCCTTGCCTTCCACACAGTGTCTTTGCTACCTGGTTGTGGTCGTGCTCCGCCCCCCGCCCCCCATCCCCATTCCAAAACTGCACGCTTCTGGGGACTGTGTCCCCAAAGCCAGCTCGGGCCAAGGAGGTGGAGGGAGATGGGAGGGTTCTGCCGGCTGACATCTCCCCTTCCCTAGATGCCAAGGGGTCCATCCGAGAGATCATCCTGCCCAAGGGCCTGGACCTGGACCGGCCTAAGAGGACGCGCACGTCCTTCACCGCGGAGCAGCTCTATCGGCTGGAGATGGAGTTCCAGCGCTGCCAGTACGTGGTGGGCCGCGAGAGGACCGAGCTCGCCCGGCAGCTTAACCTCTCCGAGACCCAGGTACCCGGTGGACAGGCCGCACACAGTTCCGCACCAGCCCCACGACCCCTACCTAGCCTGCTCTTCACCTCCTAACCTGCTCTGGACAGAGCTACCCTTGGGAGGTGTAGGAGATGGGCAGGATGGGTAAGAAAGGCCTAAGGATTCCTTCCCCTAAATAATACATCCCTTCCCCCCACCCTTCCCGCCATCCCCAAATCTTCCAGGGCCCATGTTTTATCCACCTTGGCCTAGGCCCAAGAGGCCCCAAATCCTGTCCTTTTGGAATTTTTATTGGCCCCCGGTTTTGAGCATTTGCTTCTTGCTTCTGCTCTACAAAGAACTGTCTTTTGCCCTTGTTTGGGGTACCCCATTTTGGCTAGATTTCTAGGCCCCACCCCTTGTGGGCCCTCCCAGCTGTACACAGCATCCAGGCCCATTCTGCAGGAGTGAGGCTAGGTCTAACATCCCCTGCTCCAGCACCGTGGGTGATTCCTAGGAATTAGAAAGGTGTACGCCCTCCTGGAGATCTGCCTGTGCAGATCAGGCTGCCCTGACCCTTAAAGGAAGGCTTTCGCTATCCTGAGCTGGCCCCAGCCCTGAGCACGTGGGAGACCCTGTCTTCTGTACCAGTGATGTGTGAGGAATGTGATGGGAAGCAGATCTAGGACCCAGAAGCCAGTACTGCCGATTGTGCTTTAGATCTTTCCCTTTACATTAAATCCGTATGATGCCCCTGGAGCTGGCCATGTGGGCTCTGGGCCCAGGAGAGGACCCAAGAACTTGCCAAGTGGCATGTCACCAGTTTGGCTTAGCTAAGGCAGCCTTCTTTCTGAAGACCGACCCTTTTACCCATGCCCAACCCTGAAGCAGGTGGAGAGCATTTTAGGTCTGGGATCTGGGCTGAAAGCTGAGGACTGACAGAACAGATAGGGGTGTTCTTTTTGAGTTTGAGTTGGTGTGGTAGCTTTTTCTATTCTCTTTGCTACTACCCCTCTTAGTTTATAAAATCTAGACAGGATAGTCTTTCCCTATTGCTGCAAAACTCTTCTGGCCACTGCTAGGCCTGCAGAGGGGCAGAAGAATGAGAGAGGAGGTTAGTGGGGAGTGTTCAGTCCACCTTAGCCTCCTTACTTTCTCCCATGATTCCAAGTTCATGACTCAGAGTAGTGGAGAGAGAAACTAAGAGTATCACTTAGACCCTTCAATGCAGCTATCTGGTGAGAGGAGGTGCAGAAAGCTCCGTTTGCATAAAGTCTCCCGCACATATTATTCTCCTGCAGCCACTTTCCCTGCTTGCTAGCCGATGGTCACGATGGTCACGTCTGAAGCAGGAAATGGTCCTTTGTAGCCTTCACCAGGAATAGTGCTTCTAGGACTAAATCTGAGCCCACTGGGCCAGGGGCCTGGGTCCAGAAATCCTGGGCAATACTCGCTCCCCCCATCTCTTCCCACTTCCCTCTTTCCTCTTCCTTCTTCCCTCTTCCTTCACCTCACCCTAGGGCTTCACACCCTCCACCGGAAATTCCGGCTTTGGGGCCCGCACTGATTCACACATCTGTGAGCCCCAAACACCGCTGCGGGGTAGCGCGGGAGCCAGTGAAACCCTTCCCGGTCTTCCTTTGAGTTCCTGCCGTGGGCATTTTATTACTTTGTTCTGTGTAAGCGGCGCCTGCCTGGGCCTGCTTCCCTGACCCGGAAGCGCAGCCCAGTGGAGCAGCTGTGTCCCCCTCGTGGCGGCGCCAGCTCCCCCAGCAGCGCCCCAGCCCGGACCTCTCCCGCTGCTGGGTGGGGCTGCGGGTAGGGCTGGGGCTTGGGGAGAGCCCTGGAGCCGCGCGCCCCGGGAGCTCGCTTCCTTTGACGCTGGTCTTCCCTGCCCCTCTCTCCCACTTTCCCCGCACCCCGGCGCGCAGGTGAAGGTCTGGTTCCAGAACCGGCGCACCAAGCAGAAGAAGGACCAGGGCAAGGACTCGGAGCTACGCTCGGTGGTGTCGGAGACCGCGGCCACGTGCAGCGTGCTACGGCTGCTGGAGCAGGGCCGCCTGTTGTCGCCGCCCGGCCTGCCTGCGCTGCTGCCGCCTTGCGCCACGGGCGCTCTCGGCTCAGCGCTGCGCGGGCCCAGCCTGCCGGCCCTGGGCACGGGCGCCGCTGCCGGCTCGGCTGCCGCAGCCTCCGCCGCCCCGGGCCCAGCGGGCGCCGCGTCCCCTCACCCGCCGGCTGTGGGCGGTGCTCCAGGCCCAGGGCCCGCCGGGCCCGGGGGACTGCACGCGGGCGCCCCGGCCGCGGGCCACAGCCTCTTCAGCCTGCCGGTGCCCTCGCTGCTCGGCTCCGTCGCCAGCCGCCTGTCCTCCGCCCCGTTAACAATGGCTGGTTCGCTAGCTGGGAATTTGCAAGAACTCTCCGCCCGATATCTGAGCTCCTCGGCCTTCGAGCCTTACTCCCGGACCAACAATAAAGAAGGGGCCGAGAAAAAAGCGCTGGACTGATTTTAAGTGTTTCCCTGTATTTATATTTATACTATCTATTGTGGTGATATTTATGGACTCACGCGCGTTAGGTGCCCAGAGCTCCTGCGCTGGGCTCCTGGCTCCCACCAGGCCTCTGACAACTCTCCTTTCCCACCCAGGCTCTGCTACCAATTTTATCTCATTCGGGCTATTTTTTTTTTTTTCTACCTTTCCTCCGAGATTCCTCCCCAACCCCCAACTTCCTTCTGAATCCAGGAGCGATCCAAAGAATTGGGAAAAATACCCGAGTTAGTCAACCTGATGCCCTGACCCCGTGCCCAGCCCAGGAGGGAAAAGACTGGTTCTAAGTCCAAAGAACAGGACGTTTGTTCTAGATCCGCGGCTGCTGCCGCTGCCGACTATTCCTAGGAATATTTGAAAGAGGAAAACTGCGCGCAGACCCCAGGGGCTTCCAGGTTTCTTTAGACCAAAAAGGAGGACGTTCCTTCCTCTTGCCAGAGAAACCAGGGCTTGTGGGAGCCCCTGGGCCCCGCTTTGCGGACCTGTCGGGATAGTCGATACACAACACAGCTTCCTGGCGGGACAAATCCTGCAGTTTTTCCCCCCTTTAGGGCAACTCCAATCACAACCACCCCCGACCCCAGGAAACAGTAACAAACGTCCTGGTAGGCAACGACACTAATAAATTTGATCTAATCAGCAATAAAAGCAATTGCTACGTAAAACCAGATGAAGTGGAACCAGTTTTTAAATACTCGTAATGATGAAGTTTGGAAGGTGTAAGAAAATTAAGGATAGAGAATGCCCCACGGGGCAATGCAAAATTAAGGTTCTGGGTATTGTAACCTTAAACAGGAATTTAACGGGGGAAAAGCAAAGGAAAAGCCAACGCCGCTAATCAAAGAAAACTCAGAATCTTTTCTCCGAGGCTGTTCGGGGCGGTGGCCGACAGCTTCTCCCTCCAGGAAAGAGCAAAGCGGCTGCCGGCGGTAGTCTGGGCGCCGGCGCTTCACCCTACGGCCTCCCAGGCGCGTAGCTTTGGGCACAATCGCTCGGCTTGGAAAATGAGTCAGCACTCTGCCTCTTATCCCAAACTCCCGGATTCACAAATCCTTTCCTGCACGCAGGAAACGGCTGGATTTCTGAGCAGTTCTTTGCGGAAGGGGAGGCAGGGACGCCGCTGGGCGGTCGGGCCTCCTCTAGCAGTAGTCTCAGAGTCCAGACAGCGTCTTGTGTGATTGATAGGAAAGACACTCCCCTCGCCTCCCCAGTCTTAGGGTTTCAGTGGTCCCAAATCAGAACACGAACCGCGACACCCTCTTTCCTTACCCTGTGCAGCAGCCTTACCCTGTGCAGCAGCGATCGTCCCTACAGCCACGGCCACCCACATTTTAACCAAATACACAGACCCAGACTGCGAGGTGCCGCAGGGTCTAGAATGTATTCGTCCATCTGAAGCAAGCGAAAGGCATTTTTTAAAATAGTAATTTTATTGTAAATTATTTACGTCGGAAACTCCCCCCTCTTTTTCATCTTTTTTTTTTTCTAGGCAAATAGTGAAGAAAATAATGAACGATTCAAACGCGGGTAGGTGTCACTGAATCCAGGCTACTAACTTTGTTCTGAATGTTTTGGATATTTGGATGTTTTGTATTTATGTGGTGAGAGTGAAATATATATATCTATGATGATAAATGAGGTGTATTTTTGTCTTGTATTTGAAGGATAAAAAAACAAAAGAAGAAAAGGAAGAAAGAGCCAGCAAATGATGAGTCTCGGCGTGGGGACTCCGGGGGCAGAGGGTGGCAGCCCCTATAGTGCGGGGCCCTGCAACTGGTACCGTGAGCGCCTGGGATGAGGTTTGGGCGGATTTCGGGTTTCCAGAGAGGCAGACGCCTGGCTACGACGATTTGTTCCACTTCCTTGAGTGTTTCGTTCTCGATTTCTCTTTCTGTACCTCTGAGGTCGGCCCCTCAGACCCTCCTTCTTAATTTCCCACTGCGTAATTCTTAGTTTATTTAGGAACTTATCTCCGGACACTATAAAGTCCCTGCCTCCTAATGCTATGTTTCTAGAGTCTTCCAGCTGCATCTTCATGCCGGCAGCATTTTGGATTTTGTGCAATCATGGGCCCAGAATAGGCAAGGTTTTATTTTCTTCTGACTTAGGATAAGTCTCGCCAATGTCAAAGAGAAACTTTGAGGGAGCAGGAGACTGAAATCGATATTAATTCCTGCAAAGAGACCTCTCGCCCGACCTCGCCCCAGTGCTTATGCGGTGGTGAGGGATGCAGACGTTGCAAACAAATCTTGGGAAGCGAGGAGGGCCGGGAAGGACACTTAAGAACACGCTCTCCTAAAGCGTGTGCGGCACCGAGCGAAGTCCGCGCAGCGGGCGCAGCGGCCCCGGCTCCTTCTTGTAGCGCCCGCACACCTGGGTGTTGCAGGGATCCGCTGTTCCCGTGCGGCACCGGCACTAACCAGGTCTTACAACCCCTACTCGTGTACTGTGCCTGAAGCTGGAGTCGGAAGCATCCAAAATAAGGCGGGGCACAGTGTGGGCGGCGGAGTCCCTGAGCCTTGAGCTCGGCTTTTTGCTGAGATCACAGCAGTCGCCCACAGACAGTTCACTTTTATTTCTCAAAGTTGCTGCAGATCCCTCAGCTTCGCTACTCTTGGCTCTTCCCCTCCCTGTCCGCCTCTCCTTCCTTTCTTTTGCTTGAAGCTGCTTTTCTTTTTCTACTCTTCTTCTGTGCTCCTGTCCTGTAAATCCCTGCGCTTCCTCTAAGGAGTTCTGTCTCTCAGTGGTGTGGGCTCCGATCTAGTTCCCCCTGTCTCCCTTCTCCATTAGTTCTTCCTTCCAGGTCGGTCTCTCGCTCTCATTCTCTCTCTCTCTGGTTTTCTGGTTTTCTTCTCCTGCTCAAGGGGTCCCAAAGGCCAAGGCAGTGGGTGGCTCTCACTGCAGCTTCAAGGCTGGTGTCTGGGGCCCTCCAGGGGTGAGAAGGAAGGGAGAAGGTGGCATAACTTTTTGGGACAAAAGAAAACACAAAATCCTAGCTTGGAATTCCCAATACATTCAGCCTTCTCTCCCAGGGACCTCAGCCTGGGAAGTCACCAAGCAGCTCCCTCCTTCCATCTTCCTGCCCTTTCTCCTTTTTGCTTTCTTAGCCCTGAAAGAGGGAAGGACCAGTCACCCCATCACTTCTGCTCTCACCTCCCTTCCCTCCCTGGCTTTGGGAAGAGCTGCTGAGCTCTGCCTGCCACTCAGGGAGTGCAGTTGTTCTTAAAGAGCCTCTTCTGCATAGAAAAAGAATTGCAATTTTAATTAAAAAACAGTTATAGAAAATTCATTTAATTTTAGTGACTATCTTCTTTTCCCTCCTTCCCCAAGGGCCTCTAGTAAGCTGCCTTGGTCCCTGGAGGCCTCTGGCTTCCAACTGGAGACTCACAGGCCTTGGAGGAGGAGGAGGCAGGTAGCCTCTAGGCCAATAGCTGGGCCTGCCTGGGGAAAGGTGGAAGGAGGAACAGCTGCAGGAGGGGGGAGCTGAAAGGAATCTGATGCTCAAGCCTGCACAAAGCAACAGCCAAATTGTTTCAGAGCAGAAAAGAAAAGGGGAGAAAAACCTCTTAGCAAACCCCTGTGAGTTTGGGGGTCAGGTTCAGGAAAGATGTGGGAAGTCCCTTGGAGAGCTCAATGGGACACATGCTCATATCCATACTTGCAGTTGGTCTAACCTTCAGCCAGAATGTATTAATAAGTAGCATTTAGCAACCCTTTATAGTTTCCAAATAGCATTTCACATACACCATTCTACTGTTCCTCATGGTGGCTTTGAGAGGTCCAGCTCCATTTTAAAGACTCATATACAGGACTGGAGCAAATAACATGCTCAAAGCCTCATGGCTGCCCAGAACCCAAGATTGTAAGCTCCCCCTAGGGCCAGAGGCCTCTTCTTTCAGTTTTTTTCTCTCTTCCGCCTTTGCCCCCTCTTTCCCTCTTCCCTTTCTCCCTTCCTTCTTCCTTTCCTTCTTTTTGTGCCCACAGTGTCTGGATCACTGTATCTGAATTCTTTAGCCTATTTGCACCCACATCTGCTAATGTCCATATCTAGCCATCTATTACACCAGCTGCTGAGGATTTCATTGGTGCCCTCATCAAGAAGTTTGAATTTCTCCCTCCTTCCTGTTTTTTTTTTTTTTCCCTGCCACTGTCCCAACTCTTTCCCTGTACCTCTGTCTAGAATGACATCTTTAAACCCCTTACCCTCTTTGGTCTTACACATCCTTATAAATGATTATTTTTAAATTGAATTTTAATATCCATGTGGTAAACACAGGGTAAAGTACACAAAGCTTAATTATACAAGTTGATAATTTACACACACACACACACCCCTTCTTGAATCGCTCCAATGATAACCTTTTAACTTCTTCTCTTCAGCCACGTAAGCCATATGATTATACACAGTGTCTTTGTCCTGTTTGAAAAGAAATTGTGTCATATTGGTGTGCTGTTCTTGCATAGAAAGCCTTTCTAAGAAGTCTTTTTAAGGTTTCTTGAAGGATTTAGAAGTCATGTAACTCTTCTAACCTCCTGAAGTCCTGAGTTTAAGTGGCTTGATTAAATGGCTGATCAAAACTTAAAAACATACTACGTCAATGTTTTTCAAGATACAACTGAGGACTAGCTGCTTTAGAATCATCTAGGGAGTGGCTAAAATTCCAGGTTCCTAAGCCCTATCCCATCTGATGAATCAGAAACTGGGTTGGGGTTTAGGAACATGCATTTTAAACACGTTTCCAAAGTGATTCTTATCCAGACTAATATTTGAGAAGTACTGTATTAAATGGCAAACTCCCAAAACACTGCAGCCTCCTGCATCTGGCCCAGGGCCTGGCATTTGGTAGGAATACAATGAATGTTTGTTAAACAAATTAATCTACAGTTTCTGACACAGTTTAGAATTTCTTGGACCACATTATGCTATTGTAATTTAACACCATTTCTACATCGGGAAATCTTTACATTTCAGATTCTTTTTCATTTTCATGGAGGTTTCATTTTAATGGAGCAGGAGAGAAAAGAGAAATCTACTTTAGTGGTTTCTCAGGTCTCAGGGAAGGTGTTTTATAAACTCAGTGGGGACCACCTTCCTGGACAGGCTGCTCCCTTACAGACCTGGTAGTTTGGGGAAAGGAGAAGGAGAGCCCTTCAGGTTTGCTGAAAGGCATTCAGATGCATACCCTTCTTGGTTGGAACCGAAAGCTTCTGTCTGAAGAGACACGAGTTCTGGAAGGAGCAAGGCCACCAGGTTCAGAGAACCTGGCATGCAATGGACATGGAAGCTGAAAATGACTTGTGTATTCTCTGATTTATAGCTATTATGAAACTAATTTTCTCTCTAGAAACACACTCGCCTATCTTCTTACCCTGAAACAGAAAATAAATATTGTGCTTTATGTGGTAGTGTTGTATTCATTCTTAAAAATAAATCCCATCATATATATGTGTAAAATATACACAAAATTCTTCACGTAAAAGTTTTCTTCATATAAAATCTGTTATGTGTGTTAGCAACAACATAACATGTATAGCAATAACACACACACATATATACACACATATAAACATGTACATAGCATTCCCTGGTATACAAGGTGGAGTATGCTCGTTTAATGCACAGAGAAAAAGTAATTCATCTTAATGGTTTCTAGTTATGGGTTCTGGAGTCAGAATGACTTGGGTTCAAATCCCAGACACACCACTTAATAGCTGTGTAATCTTGGAGAAATTACTCATTTGGCTGCTTTAAACCTATTTCCATGTGTATCAAATGAAGGTAATAATGGCACCTACCTCGTAGGATTGTCATGGTTGTTTAGTTAGATAAAGCATCTAAAGCATCTAGTACAAGCCTAGGAAAAATTATATGCTCAAATATTAGCTATTTATTATAAGACTGTGATTGAGATAGCTGACTATCTGAGAGTCTCTCTGAGGCCTCAGTTTCCCCATCTGTAGAATGAAGGTGTTGGCCTAAAGTCCTTTCCTGAGGAAGGGGAATGTGATTGGGTCATGCATAATGGAATTTACTCCCCCTGCCTTTAGACTTGGTATCACAGCCATTAGTAAGCACAACATCTCTACCAAAATGGTAAATAATTATTTTAATGACTTGGCAGACAGCCCTCAGCTGTCTGTTCTTTGGAGACTGCCTCATCTGAAGAGAGCCACTGTGCCCAAGTAGTTTCCAATGACTTTCCAGGGTGGCTTCCAATGACTGGTAGACCTGGGGATAAGCCTGGTCCTTGCATCCCAACTTTGGATAGATTTGAAGAATCACCTCATCTAAACTCTTAGAAGGAATGGCTGAGGCCTCTGTTGAGATCCCTATGCAGTTTGACTTCTGTCCAATACTGCTTCCTTCCTTTCCCTTCTATATTGTTGAACTTGAAGTACTCCCTAGTAAACCTCCTACATGCTAATCTCCTCAGTTCTTGAGTCAGCCAATTTCAATGGAAAGGTATGAGAAGGAGAGTGCTAAGAGTTGGGAATGGAGAGGAAGCAGTGAGGATGGCTGAGTGCAAGTAGTGGGAGAAGAGGCAGGAATGCAGGCAGCACCTGGAATACCACGTTGACGACACTTGGATTTTGCCATCATGGCGATGAGGGGCCACTGAAAAGTTCTCCTGAGGAGATCATGGAATCATTGTAGTTCTCATTTTACAAGGTCTTTCTGGAAATCTGGGGGAGAATCCCAGAAGAGGTGGCATGGGAACAGGAGTGCACGGATTCTGAGGTAGACGCCAGTTAGTGAGTACACTTCCACAGAAACAGGAGGGCAAGAAAGGATGATGGTGATGCGATGATGGTGGGGGTAAGGGGTGAGGGTGAGGGTCGGTTGGTGAAGTGGCAGTAGAAATGGAGAGGAGAAATGGGTTCAAGGCATTTTGCTGAAATAAAACCAACAGATCTTAGTGTCTGACTAGAGGTGACTGGTGGTGGCATTGATACCAAGATTGGGTCCAAGTGGAATTTTGAAACCATTTTCCTTGTGTCAGAGAGGGAATTTGATGAGGAGCATGAAGCCAATAAGGGTTTAGTGGGGGTACTGGAGGCCGAGTTGGCTCCAAAACTGGGGAGATAGCTGTTAATTGGGGCGGAGGCCTCAGCCTGGAAGACGGGAGGGCCCAAGGGTGGAAAGGCGTGGAGCCTGAGCCATATGATCCACTGGGCATGCGCGATGGGGCATGCGTGCTGGGAGGCGAGGCGAGGGCCGAGGGCTCTAGGACTATAAGGGCGGCAGGGCTGGCGCTCTAGGGACTCCTGGGGCTCTCATCCTCCCAGCCTGGACCCGGCGCCTCACGCAGCCCATCCCGCACAGCTTCCGTCCACTGCGGCCGGGGCCTCACCAGGAAAGTGGGAAGTTAGGTCTGCTTTTACGCTTGTAGCGGCCGGGCCCGGACCCACGCTGAGCACGGCTCCCTCGCTCTCTTGCCAGCACGGGCAGAAATAGGGACTGAAAATACCTTCCTGGGTCCGGCCCTTAAGACGCCAGCTGGGACCCAAGGCAATGGAGCGGCGGGAAGTGACGTCAAGCGGCGGCAGCACACCCTGGAAGGCCCCTTCCAGCACTGAGCGCTCGGCCCTTTCAGACCCACGCCCTTGACCCCCAGCCTCTTGTACGGAGGGAAGCAGGGGCATAGGGGGTGAGGGGCTTGCTAAGGATGCCCAGGATGGACGGAGTGCCAGGTTTTTGTTTTGGTTTCCTTCCCTTGCGACTCGTGGGTTAGATAAGGCTGCCATCTGTTAGATCGGTGGCCAGAAAGTCAAGTCATCAGCCCATTTTACTGAGAGTCTGGCTTAGTCCCTTCCTGGGAAGAGCTAAAGGCAAATTCAGTTTTCTGTCCTAGTTGTCAGCTGATGCGAGGGGGAGTAAGCACAGTGGAGTGGGAGCATTATTCACAGGGATGGACAGACAGCCTGTAGAATTCTGAGATGATCAAGAAGGTATTTCGGTTCTTAACCAGGGAATCCTAGGGAGAAACGGAGGGGAGAGAAAAAGAAAAGGAAATGATGTGAAAGGAGGTGGGGAGCTCGCATTGAGGAAAGGTGTAAGATGAGGCTTGCAAAGTGGCCTGGTCAAGGAAGGGCTTGAAGACCAAACTAAAGATCGCTATTCTGTAGGCGAAGGGGAGGTTTTGGGCAGGGCAACGATGGGAGGAAGGCCCAGTTACAAGATGAGATGGGTGCCAACAGGTGAGAAAGGTTAGTAAACAGATTGGTGTTGCGGTCTGGGATTGAGCTGCAGGTGGGGAGGATGGAAAGTAAGTAGTTGTCTCATCAGTGATGGGATGAGAAACAAGTTGGTTAACACATTCATGCCAACATTTGTTTCTAGACATCAGCATTATTTTCGTTTTAAGATCCTTTCCCTGAGCTGCCTGTGACCGTCTCTGTTCAGAGACCAGTGGGAGGGTGGCAAATAAGTTCAACTCTCGAGCTAAGTTGAATTATTTGATGGTAGCTGCCCTGGGGGTACTAAGTTGCAGAGGATTCCGAGGCCTCATCTAAGCTCCATGGAAAAATATGCTGATCATTAGTGATGTCTGCCAACATTGGAGGGGTTCTTCCAATTCTGAGACAAATATAAGTGGCTTTGAGGCCAGATTGCTTCCCTAGGTTCTGAGTAAGGAGCTAGGTCCATGTTTGGCTCAGCAATTTTTCTTAGCCTGGGTAGGTCATGGCAGAGTAGGAAGCTGTTTCCAGGTAACCTGGGGCAAGGTTCCTGCAGCAGGTATCCCAGTCATCACCTTGACCCCCACAATATGGCCATAGTAGGAAAACTTGGGCTTTGAATTCCACCTTTGACTTTTATTGGCCATGTGAACTTAGGCAAATAACTCCTTTCAGTCAGAATCCTCATCTGTAAATAGAATTATTACTTTTATTTTATCCTATTTTTTGAGACAGAGGCTCTCTCCATTGCCCAGGCTGGAGTGCAGTGGCGCGATCTCAGCTCACTCCAACCTCTGCCTCCCAGGTTCCAGCAATTCCCCCTGCTTCAGCCTCCTGACTAGCTGGGATTACAGGTGCCCACCACCACGTCTGGCTAATTCTTGTATTTTTAGTAGAGACAGGGTTTTGCCATGTTGGCCAGGCTGGTCTTGAACTCCTGACCTCAAGTGATCCACCCACCTTGGCCTCCCAAAGTGCTGGGATTACAGAGAAATTCAATGAGAAAAGCAAAGTGCAGCCTGTTTTAAAGATGTAGAGTCTGAGACATGGAGAATCAATGTGTCAGTGAAGGGATTATACTTTGAACTTTATTTTTCTGAGTCCTGGAACACCACTCTGAATATGATGCTTAACTCTTAAGTTTTGTTTCATTGTCAAATGTGTTCTACCCTCAAGCTTTTTCTCTGAATTCAGGGTCCACTTTTTTCATTGCCTGAGGCTCATTAACCCCCAAGTTAGAGACAGAACCATCAGTGACATATCTAAAGTTTGGCTTTTTTTTTTTTTTTTTTTGAGACATAATCTTGCTCTGTCACCCAGGCTGGAGTGCAGTGGTGCAGATCATGGCTCACTGCAGCTTCAACCTCCCAGGCTCAAGGGACCCTCCCACCTCAGCCTCCTGAGTAGCTGGAACTGCAGGCAGGCACCACCATGCCCAGATATTTTTAAATGTTTTTGTAGAGACAGTGTCTCACTGTGTTGTCCAGGCTGGTCTTGAACTCCTGGACTCAAGCAATCCTCCCACCTTGGCCTCCCAAAGTGTTGAGATTACAGGTATGAGTCACCGTGCCTGGCCAACAATTCTTTTTTTTTTTTTTTTTTTGTGAGATGGAGTCTTGCTCTGTCACCCAGGCTAGAGTACAGCTGCAGGGACGTGATCCCGAATCACTGCAACCTTCGCCTCTTGGGTTCAAGCAATTTTCGTGTCTCAGCCTCCCAAGTAGCTGGGATCACAGATGTGCACCACCGCGCCCAGCTGATTTTCTTTGTATTTTTAGTAGAGATGGGGTTTCACCATGTTGACCAGGCTGGTCTCGAATTCCTGGCCTAAAGCAATCCACCCACCTTGGCCTCCCAAAGTGCAGGGATTACAGGTGTGAGCCACCGTGCCTGGCCAGCAATTCTTTTAAGAGTAGTCTAGCAGTACATTAGGAACAGCAATCAGACATGCAAAATTAGGTAGAGATAATTTGGAATGTAGGTAGATGTGGGGTGACCCAAGGTCAGGGGTCACTTATGTCATTATTGAAAGTTAAGGGGTGCTAATTACTCACTACCTTTTCCTTCTGGCTCAAATCGACTGCAAACTAGGTGCCACATAGGTTCCAAATTTAAGTGGTATCAAATGATTCTCAAAGTTGTCTCTTCTCTTCTGCAATTGAATTTACCTATCTACTCACAGGTAGAGAAAGGGAAAACGAAGAGTGGAGAGGGATAGAAC